CACCAACAGGATGCCCTTTGGCACAGGAAGAATAGGGAGATGCAACGGATTTATCATGCCCCCAGCTGCCAGTAGCCACACCCCAGAGCCACAATTAACCTCGCCGATGGCAGATGGGACCCTTGGTAGGGGGTAGAAGGGTGGAGGGGTCCCCAGGTAGGAGCTTCATCTGACTGGACAGAGAACAAGTTCCAAACACCCAGGAGCACCCCAAACTGTCAACAAGAAAGAGGTCCTGGAAGGGGGGGAACTGAGGCCCTCCAACGGCCCACTGGGCACAGGAAAGCCCCCAAATGTGGGGTGTCAGGGGGTCTGGATTTTAATTCCAGCAGCTGTTATTATGTGATTTTGATTGTATCGCTGCCTGTCTTTGTGTCTCAGTTTTCCCATCTGGAAAATGGGGCCTATCATCGCATGTCCTTCCTGGGGGCAATTAGAAAGACGAAATAAGTCAACGGAGGTGAAACTTGCAGCCCAATCTAGTCAAAGAAATTCCTCTCTAAGTGTTGACTATTGAAATGTGTGGTTTTCTGTAGGGTGACCTTGCTGAACTCCCCTAAGAGCCCCAGTCTCAGCCGTGGATGTCACGACCTGGGGAGGAGGGTATGGCTACCGGTATTGAGTGGGTGGAGGCAAGGGACGCTGCTCAACACCCTGCAGTGCACAGAACGGCCCCCACCAATGTCAACAGCGCCAAGGTTGAGAAACCCTGAGCTAGACTTGAAGCCACAGGACAAAGCTTCAGCCCAGCTGGCTTTTAGGTAAACAATCAAAGGCTCCATTTAATGAGCCTTTGTTTTGTGCCCTTAGATGTCTCTCACAGGCATAAGCTCATCTAATCCTCCCAAAAACCCTGGGGAGTATCTGTGCTAACTCCATTTCACAGATCAGAAAACTAACGCTCGGGGAGATGAAATGTTTTACCCTAGGACAGAGGTTCTCACCCGGGGGTGGCTGAGGTACTGCAAGTTCAATTTTATTTCATGCTGTTGTTGTCAGGGGCCATCAAGTTGGTTTGGACCCATAGCGACCCCATGGGCAACAGAACGAAACACTGCCCGGTCCTGCGCCATCCTCACAATCGTTGTTATGCTTGAGCCCATTGTTGCAGCCCCTGTGTCAATCCATCTCGTTGAGGGTCTTCCTCTTTTTCGCTGACCCTCTACTTTACCAAGTATGACGTCCTTCTCCAGGGACTGATCCCTCCTGATAACATGTCCAAAGTATGTGAGATGAAGTCTCGCCATGCTTGCTTCTGAGGAGCGTTCTGGCTGTACTTCTTCCAAGACAGATTTGTTCGTTCTTCTGGCAGCCCGTGGTGTATTCAATATTCTTCCCCAGTTTAGCTAACTTAAATCTGAGTTGCCACATGTTGCTAGTGCCTCCCGTAAATGGGCAGAGTTTTCAGGAGCCAAACGATAGTCAAGTGGTCAGTAGGCAGATGCAAAATATCCCAAGTTTTTGCCAACGATTAAAAATGAGATGGCAGATAATGGCAGCATCATATTATTTTAAAAACGACCACTCATTCGATACACATTTAGGATTTAAAAAAAAAAAAAAATCCTCAGGACACCAGGAGAAAAGATCTTCCTTAACTCGACCAAGGGCAGCTAATATACTTAACATTTAGCATCAGAAGGCTTTCCCCCTCCAATAAGGAGCAAGGCAAGGAGGTCCGTTCTCAATTCCTCAACACCGTGCTAGAAGTTCTAAAAACCCACCAGTTGCCGTGTCGTCAGCTCCGACTCGTGACAACCCCGTGTGTGTCAGAGCAGAACTGTGCTCCACAGGGTTTTCAATGGCTGAGTTTTCAGAAGTAGCTTGCCAGACCTTTCTTCCGAGGCACTTCTAGGTGTACTCAAACTTCCAACCTTTTGGTTAGCAGCAGAGTGTGTTAATGTTTGCACCACCCATGGACTCCACTGGCAGTCCTAGCCACTGCAATAAGGCAAGAAAAGAAAGGCAGGCAGAAACAGCACTGTCCCTGTTTGCAAATGGCAGGGTGGTGTATTTAGAAAATCCCAAGAAATCTTAAGAAGAAGGGGAAAAAAAGCTTCTAGAACTAATAAGTGAGGTGGCAGGATACAAGGCCAGTGCACAAAATTCAATTCCATTTCTATATGGTCTCAATGAACAATTGGGAACCAAAATTAAAACCACAGTATTATTTATGGCCACTCCAAAAAAACTACCACGTATTGAGTGTGAATTTCGTGCCCAGCTCCTTACTGTTATTAGCTGACTTGAGCCACACAGCAAACTCTGGGAGTTGAGTTCTGTTATCCTCCCCATTTTGCAGAAAAAGAAACTGAGGCTCACTTATTATGAGCTGACTTATGTGACCCAACAAACCCTGGGAATGGGTTCTATGTATCTTCCCCATTTTACAGATGAGGAAACTGAGGCTTAGAGGTGGCGTGGCTGACCTGAGATCCCAGAGTTGACTGAGCAAAGGAAAAAGCATCAAAAACAATAACAACGACAGCTATAATAATAATAGTAATAAGGATAGCACCCCTGATTGGTGGGGCATTTACTATGTGCCAGCCACATAGTTCAGGGCCCCTTGTTGCATTTATTAACAATTTTTCTTTGAGGAAACGCCTTCAAGGTCCTGCCTCAGGGCCTTTACACTGGCTGCAATTGTACCCATTTTACAGGTGAGGAGAATGAGGCGCAGGGAGAGGTGAGGTGCTGCGTCTGAGGCTGCACAGCCTGTGCTCAGAACCACTGTGGGGGCCTGGCACCTAGCAGGTGCTCAAGAGACACCCCCTTCCCGTCTGTCCATCTGCCCTGAGAAAGTGCTCAAGTGCCCGCCAGACACCACTGCCTTTTGCGACTGTGTGGCCGCTGGTTCCAGAAGAGGGTCTCGTGCCCGCGGCCTGGAGCCCGGACGACTGGCTGCCCGGGCTGGGCGCTTCCCAATGGAGTGGCCACCGTGCCCAACTGTGTGGCCGTCCAAGCGGGACTGGCCGGCTCCGAGGGGCACTGGCTGCCCGGCCCGGGAGTGCCCACAGGGCGTGGGGCCGAGCCGGGCACACTCCCCTCGGCCACTGCCCAGCCCTGCCCAGCTCAGCTGGCCCCGCTGGGCTGCAGAACAGGGCCAAGGAGAGGCCGCCCCCACCAACCCTGTCACAGACTGGGAAACTGAGGCACAGAGCTTCGCACAGTGCTGTTTGCAGCGTCCTCAGGGAGGCAGACAGTGGGCTCTCTGTACGTGGTGTGTGCAAAGCCTCCAGCATGACGCCAAGGCAAACGCCAAGGTCCCAAGGACTCTTGTTATTATTCCCGTACAGCCCTATGGGGCAACCACTGTCATCAGCCCATTTTACAGATGAGGAAACTGAGGTCCTTGCCCAGGGCCACACCGCCTGGTTGCAGCAGAGCCAGGATCTGAACTCAGGCATCTGACCGCAGAAGCCAAGCGGCTCTTGTGCCGGGTGTTGGACGCCGAGCCTGCGAACGGATGAATGAAGCCATGAAGAGGCGTGGGGTGGGCCTTCCTCATCGTTCTCACCCTCACTTGTCCTTGTCTGTAAAATGGGCGCAGTAACAAAGCCAAATCTGCAGGTTATTTTGTTAGTTGCTGTCACGTCAGCCCGACTCATGGTGACTTTATGTGTAACGGAACAAAACATTGGTTGATCCTGCACCATCTTCACGACCATCAGGCGGGTTATTTGAAGGATTTAAAAATAGCGCTAATAGCAATAATGCAATGGACATTACCATTTACCCAGCATGCGGTATGCCCCGAACACCTCCTATGTGTCTCCTTGCTGCAACCCAGTGCTGGCCCGTTTGGGAGAGGAGAGAACTGAGGCTCGGAGCAGTGAAGCCATTTGTCTGAGGTCACACAGCGATTACATTCTGGCTTTGGGGCCTGATTCTCTTTCTTTGCCATTTGATAGTGATTCCTGTCACCTTTGGCTTTGGCCCAAGGGACACATGGGGGTGGAGGTTGGAGGGTGGCGGGTTCTGCCCGGCAGGCTTGGCCCTAGGGCCCCCCGCCGCAGCCCAGAGTGGAGGATGGGGGCTGCAGAGGAGGCCGGTGCCGCTCCGCCTCCACCCAGGCTGCCGGAGCCGATAACGCTGAGCTCAGCGTCTGTCTGCTTCTCCCGACCGCCAAGGAGTCTGATTATTTTTAGATAAGATGGAGGGGCGGGCGCCAGCGCGGAGGGAGCCCCCATGCCAGGCGGGTGGGCGGGGAGTCGCAGCCGCAGAGGGCCGCCCCTGAATGGGCCCTGAATGCCAACCCCAGACCAAAGGCTGTAGGGCTGCAGGGGCCGAGGCTGAAGGGAGGGGCCCGTGGGTGCAAGAACTCACCTGTCTGGCCCTCCGTTTCCCCATCTGTAAAATGGGCATAATGACAGCTTCTTCCTCATAGGGTGAAGGCATGATTGAAGGAATCGCTGTGCATCAGGTTATCATCCCCATTTCACAGATGGGCAAACGGAGACTCAGAGAGGGGAAGTGACTTGCCCAGAGCCACACGATCAGAATGTGGCAGAGTTGAGATTTGAACCCGGGCTGTTGGACCTGAGCTTTTACCCAGGACTGCCCCTGCCCCTGCACACTGGCTGTCTGGGAGGCCACACTGCAGCAGGCGGGTGCACATGGGTGTGTCCACATGTGGGTAGGTGTGCACACACATACTGGGGGCCTAAGGATGGGCATGTTCATGGTCACCAGCCCAGCCTGGGCCACCAGTGTTGACACCTCTTCTTCTCTGCAGGATGTCCTCGCTATGTCACCAACAAACAGGAGCTCTGGTGGCACATCGGTTAAGCACTTGGCCGCTAGCTAGAAGGGTCAACAGTTTGAACTCACTAGTGGCTCCGCAGGAGAAAAGACCTAGCTATCAGATCCTGTAAAGATCACAGCCTGGGAAACCCTATAGGGGCCATTCTGCTCTGTCACATGGGGTCACTATGGGTCGGAATCGACTCGACGGCACCCAACAACAACATGTCACCAACTCCTCCTTCTCTTTGCAGACGCGGAACAGAGCAGCAGCCCCCGCACAGGTATGGGCTCTGACCAGGAGGACAGCAAGCCCATCACGCTGGGTGAGTCTGGGGCGGCTTGGGCAGCGGGGGGTGGGGCACAACTTCTCCCCTTTTCCACTTAGCAGCATGTATTGAGTGCCGCCTGTGTGCCAGGCCCTGGCGGGAGTACCTCATAAATTTCATTCATTCATTCATTCATTCCTCACCACGCTATGGGGTAGATGCTGCTGTGTTCCCATTTCACAGATGAGGAAACTGAGGCTCAGAAGGGTAAGGGGCCTTCCGAAGGGGCTGGAGTTTGAACACCGAGCTCGCAGCGTGGGTGGGGGCCCTCAGATGCTCACCCCATGAAGCCCCAGGGGCTGTATAATGGAAGAGAAAGACAAAATCAGTTCCCTGTGGTCAGGAATGACAAGTACGAGAACTTCCCTGAAGAGCAGGAAGGATGGGAGGATGCAGAGGTGTGCTGCAAAGGCCCTGGCCTCCACCTGGTCCAGCTCCATCATCACCCGCCTGGCCCAGTGCATCCACCCTGGTTCCCCGCTCCCGCCCTTGCCCCAACAGTCTGTTCCCCCTGCAGCAGCCAGAGGGCGCCCGTGAGCACCTGAGTCAGGCCCGTGGCTGCTCTGCCCACAGCCCTCCAGGGCTCCCACTTCCTTTGGGTAAAAGCCCAAGTCCTCCCCGCAGCCCACAAGGCCCTGCATGACCTGCCCTGCCCCCTCCCTGCCCTCCTCTCCTTCTCTCTCCCCCTTGCTCACTCTGCTCCAGCCACGCAGGCCTCCTTGCTGTTCCTCCAACTCACCGGGCACAGTCCTGCCCTAGGGCCTTTGCACAGACTGTGCCCTCTGCTTGGGCAGCTGCCTGCTCACTCTCTCTCTAGATCTCCCCAGGTCTCAGTTCAAATGTCCCCTTTTCAAAGAAGTCTTCCCTGAACCCCGCAGCTCGAGCAGCTCAAGCAGCCCTAGCCACTCTCCATCGCAGCCCTCCGTTTTATTTCCTTCGGAGGAAGTTAGTGATTGCCTATGTATTTGCTTTGTTGGTGGTGGTCTGTCTCCCCAGTGGAGGGCAGGGATTTTTGTCTGTCTTGATCACTGTTGTGCTCTCGGTGTCTAGAATCGGGGCTGGTACACAGTGGGTGCTCCATAAATATTTGTAGAAAGAAAGGGGGGAAGGCAGGATGAGGCAGAGAGAAAAGAGAGAAGCCGCAAGAGAGGAGGTCATCGGGGGGAGGAAGGAGGAGAGATGAAAAGGAAGGAAGGAAGAAAAAGCAAGTGGGGGAGGACATCCCCGTTGGAAGGGAGACAGGATGGTTCCAGAAGGTTCACAGGCCCACAGGCCACTGCTCGCTGGCCTGTGGTGACTGGCCCGCCCTGTGTCGTGACCTGAGTCCTTGGCCTCCCGTGATCCCCTGGGTGCCGCCTTCCAAACCAGATGTTCGGGGAGGCGGGGGCAGCGGCAGTGCTGCGCCTGGGCCCGTGGGGAGTGTGGGCAGCCGGCGGAGGAAATCAGGTCCTCCCCGCCCGCCAGGGAGTCCCCTGGAGATGGAGCACAAACAGGAAACCCCGCGGGGGAGGGCAGAGGGCTGCTGACTCCAGCTGGCCAGCTAGGTCAGCAGGAAACGGCCACAGCCACTTCCCCTAGACACTCAGGGGCCACCGCCCTGTGCTTGTAGGCATGTGGTGGCTCTCAGCCTCCCAGCCCCGGGCCAGGCACACAGCAATTGCTCAATAAGCGGTGTGCATAAAAACTGTAGGCAGGGAGACCCGCGTTTCTGGACAGCTGGGGCACTGGGCACCGCTGTGAGCTTCCTGTGCCCCGTGCTGCCCCCTGGGGGCCGAGAGAAGAACTGCTCCCACTACCACCCCTCTGAGCTGAGCCCTCCCACCCCTGCCAGCCCGTCCTGCCTCGGCTCTAACCACGCTCCCCTGGCTCCTGCTCCAGCCCTGCAACTTGCCAAATGCGCTGCAGCCTCAGGGCCTTTGCCCTTGCCGTTCCTGCTGCCAGGAACACTGTGCACCTCGGGGAGGTGGCAAAATTTGGTGTTTAAGATTGCCCTTATCAGGGTGGCCAGGACGTCCAGAGTGGTGACTTGGTGCCAGGCGCCGTTCCTGGCACGTCACACATTTTAACGTTTCTCCCTCTTAACCACCGTCACCTTTAAACCGAAAAGCCAAACGCATTGCCGTGGAGTCGATTCTGACTCATGGCGACCCCGGGTGTTACAGAGTAGAACTGCTCCATAGGGTTTTCTTCACTGTACTCTTTAAGGAGGAGTCCCTGGGTGGCGCAAACGGTTAAGCGCTCAGCTACTAGCTGAAAGGCTGATGGTTCGAACCCACCCAGAGGTGCCTCGGGAGAAAGGCCTGGCGATCTACTTCTGAAAGGTCCAGACTTGAAAACCCCATGGAGCAGTTCTACTCTACACACATGCGGTCGCCACGACTCGGAATGGACTCAACGGCAACTAACAACAACAATCTTTAAGGAAGCAGATCGCCAGGCCTTTCTTCCATGGCACCGAGTGGGTTCAAACACCAACCTTTAGGTTAGTAGTCAGGCGCAAACCATTCGTACTACCCAGGGACCCTTCACCACCTTTAGCAAACCAAACTAAGCCTGTTGCCGTCGAGTCGATTCCGACTCATAGTGACCCTGTAGGACCGAGTAGAACTGCCCCACAGGGTTTCCAAGGAGCGGCTGGTGGATTTGAACTACCTTTTGGTTAGCAGCCCAGCTCTTAACCACTGTGCCACCAGGGCTCCACCTTTAGGGCTTTCTAAATGCAGGGTTGCATACCATAGATGCTCAGTTGAGTGAATGGATCCCCACAGGCCTGCTCCCACGCTCTCCAGGCACAGGTTCCAAATCTGTGAAATAGGTCCAAACCACCCCGGCTCACAGAGGAGGGTCCCGTTTTGACATTAGGCAAGACTGGTTCTGGGGGCCCCGGCTGTTCGCACTGCCGCCTGTGGACCGTCCATCCAGCCTTGCTGTGTGCACTGGGGACGCTGCAGGACCCGGACAGACAGACGCCCCTGCCCTCAAGGAGCTGCCAGTCTGCAGGGGGAGACAGAAAAGAACATTGTCCCACAGGCGATATGTGATGGAAAGCAAGCAAACAGGCCCCTCCTCCGTCCTTTTATTTCTCACAACCCCTCCCCGCAGATGACGCGGTTCATGGTCCCCGTTTCTGGAGATTAGGACAAATCCAGGCTCACACACTGAGTAGGGGGCAGAGTCTAGATTTGAACCAGGTCAACAGCCGGCCGGCTTCTGCAGCCAGTCCCAGTGTGGGACCAGAGCCGTTGAAGAAGGCACCCCGGCTGTGGCTGCAGTGAGAAGGACTGAGGGCAGACTCAGAACTTCCCTCCAGCCACATAGGAGGAAAGGGCTCCCCCATGTGACTGAGGGGCTCAGCGGCCACCCCGCGCAGGGGGTGGGCCGAGTGACGGCCAGGCTCCGTCCAGCCCTGAGGTCTGGGTGTCGAGGGAAGCCGACCCAGCTCAGCTGCGCCCGCTGACCCCGTTCTCTCCCCCTTCCAGACACAACTGACTTCCAGGAGAGCTTCGTCACCTCCGGCGTGTTCAGTGTCACGGAGCTCATCCAGGTGTCCCGGAGTGAGTGTCCCAGCCCGCCCTGAGCTGGTACCCGGAGAGGGGAGAGGGAGGGGGCTCGGAGGGGGCGGGTCTTAGACAGGGGTGGGGCTGCAGGGAGAGGAGGGACTGAGAGTAGGGGGGCTGAGAGAAGGGAGGGGGCTCAGGGAAAAGGAGGGGATCAGAGGGGGCGGGGCTCAGAGAGGGGAGGAGCTCAGGGAAGAGGAGGAGCTTAGAGAGGGGCCGGAGGGGAGGGGCTCAGAGAGGGGAGGGGCTCCGAGAAAGGAAAGCGGCTCACACGGGAGAGGAGGTTGGAGAGGTAGAAGGGTTCCAGGAGGGGGTCTCCAAGAAGGGAAGGGGTCTCAGGGAGAGAGGACGCACTCAGGGAGGGGAAGGGGACTCAAGAATGAGGGAGGGAGTTCAGAGATAGGGAAGGAGCTCAGGGAGGGGAGGAAGGTGTAGAAGGGAGCCTTAGCGAGGGGAAGGGGCTAAAAGGAGAGGAGAGGTTTGCAGAAGGGGAAGGGCTCAGAGGGAAGGAAGGAGCCCATCAGCCCCACCCTACACCCCCTCGCCAGCCACCCCCTGTCACCAAGCCAAAGTTCCCAGGAAGGGAAAAATCCGGGCCCTTCCCAGAGCCCAGGGTCAGGGTGACACACCAGCTCCCCAGGAAACAGAATCCAAATGCTGGATGGAGGGCGATAAAGAACCTTCCGTCCAGCAACCCTCCTCCCTGAGGCCGCCCCCTCCCCGTCCCAGGAGACCCCAGAGGGCCCCACCCCTCCTAACCTTTGGCCTTCTGTCCCCTTCCACATGTCCAGACACCCCTGTTTATCCCACTCCAGAGAGTTCTGGGCATTGTCCTGCCTAACCCTGACCATCACCCTCCCTGTCCTGAGCAACACAGCCTGGACTCAGAGGGGCTGGGAAGCTTGGCCTTCAGCTATGGCTACGCCTCTGCCTCACTGTGCAACCTTGGCCTCTCTCGATGGCCTTGGTTTTCTGATTCATAGAATACGGCCAGTTTGGGCCAAATTAGGAACAGGCCAGTTTGGGAAACGGCTCCCCATCTGCCTGCCCCAGGTGGTTCTCCCCCCTCCTCCAGGGAAAACCACAGCCTTGGGCCCTGCTGCCTCCCTCACTCTCCTCCTTGTCGCCCTCTGCAGCGCCCGTGGTGACTGGAACAGGACCCAACTTCTCCCTCGGGGAGCTGCAGGGGCACCTGGCGTATGACCTGAACCCAGCCAGCACTGGCATGAGAAGAACGCTACCCAGCACCTCTTCCAGTGGGTACGTGCCCTGGTACCCAACTCTGGGCATTTCACAACCCTTCACCCACCCCAATCTCGTTCCAGCTGCCTCATTCCTCTGCCTATTCATCCATCACAATCCAGCCCCAAATGCCTCCTCTCCCAGCCCTGAAACCCCAGCCAGTGGGACTCCCCTGAGTCTTCAGACACAGGTTCTTGCTGAGGTATGCTGTGTGGCCGTGAACCGGTGACACTGTGTATGCCTCGGTTTGCCCATCTGTAAAAAGGGCATCATAATCCTATAGGGTGGTTCTGAGGATTGCAGTAGGCCAAGCGATTAGCAGGGCGCCTGGGTTTTAGTCTCCACGCTACTAGTTTGCTGTCTGACCTTGGTTAAGGCCCTCCCCACCTCAGGCCCTAGCTGACCCCATCGAAGCAACAGGAGGGTGGGAACAAGTTTTAACTGAAAATGGACCGAAAGTCTGGGGCTCCCGTGATGTCTCGCGATACTACCCTCCTTGCTCCGCCCCCCCCCGGGGCCGGAAGTTATGAAGTCCGCCCCTCCCCCGGGCTTTTTGATAACCGGTCCGCGCGCTCTCCTCCCTTTGCCCCTTAGGAGCAAGCGGCACAAATCGGGCTCGATGGAGGAAGACGTGGACACGAGCCCCGGGGGCGATTACTACACCTCGCCCAGTTCTCCCACGAGTAGCAGCCGCAACTGGACGGAGGACATGGAAGGAGGTAGGGCGGGCGGCGGGGGCGGAGATGACCTTCCGGTCGGGGTTACAGCGGCGGGGACTACGTGTCCCGGCAGTAACTGCGCGGGCGCTAGGGAGCGAGAAGTCGGCCGCGAGCCGTGGGGCCTCTTGGGGATTGTAGTCGCCCGGGTTGCGCGCTTCTGGAAGTAAACTCCGGGCTCGCGTCCCCGGAGCTCTTTGGTTCCGCTCAGATCGTGGAGGGCGGAGACTCTCCCTGCCCAAGTTTCCTGCTCTCTGTCTGTAAAGGCTCTACTGGTACCTGTGGGGGCTCGTCCCCATTTGTCCTCTTTCCTAGTAAAGGGTCCTGAGAGGTAGGATCCCTTCTCGTTGGGGTCCTTCTCCTTCGAGTTTCTTTATTATTAGGTTCTCATTCCATGGAATCTTCCCCCGTATGATTCCAGTTCTGTAGGTGCTCGTGTCTTTTTTTTTCCTATAATTTTTTTATTTTTATTTTGTGTTGTTGAGAATATACACAGCTAAACATAGTCCAATTCAACAGTTTCTACATGTACAATTCAGTGACACTGATGACATTCTTCGGGTTGTGCAATCATTCTCACTCTGCTTTTCTGAGTTGCTCTTCCCCCATTAACATAAACTCACTGCCCCCTAAGTCTCCTACCTCTTCTTAGTTGCTATTGGCAATTTGATCCCGTATAGATAGTTCTTAAAAGAGCACAATACTCAAGGCAGACATTCTTTAATAGTTAAGCTAAACTATTGTTTGGTTTTAAGACTTCAGAGGCCCCGGATAAGCAAAGCATTATTGAAGAACAAAGCAGGAGGTCTCACACTCCCCGATCTCAGAAACTACTCTACAGCTACAGTAGTCAGAACAGCCTGGTACTGGCACAACGACAGACACACGGACCAGTGGAACTGAATTGAGAACCCAGAAGTAAATCCATCCACCTACCAACGGCTGATCTTCAACAAAAGGTCAAAGTCCATTAAATGGGGAAGAAAACGTCTCCCTAACAAATGGCGCTGGCAAAACTGGATATCCATTTGCGGAAGAATGAAACAAGATCCAACCTCACACCATACACAAAAACTCACTCAAAATGGATCAAAGACCTAAATGTAAGACCTAAAACTATAGAGATCATGGAAGAAGAAAGAGGGATAACACTCCACAAGAAACCAGACCCATTGCCGTCAAGTGGATTCTGACTCATAGCAACCCTATAGGACAGAGTAGAACTGCTCCACAGGGTTTCCAAGGAGTACCTGGTGGATTTTGAACTGCCATCCTTTTGGTTAGCAGCCGTAGCACTTAACCACTATGCCACCAGGGTTTCTGGGAACAATGCTAGGGACCCTAATATATGGCATAAATAGAATATCACACATAACTAAAAAGGTACAAGCACCAAAAGATAAACTAGATAGCTGGGATCTCCTAAAAATTAAACATTTATGCTCATCAAAAGACTTAGCCAAGAGAGTAAAAAGAGAACCTATAGGCTGGGGAGAAATATTTTTGGATATGACATATCCAACAAAGGCCTACTCTCTAAAATTTATGGAAAACTTCAACACCTCAAGAACAAAAAGACAATCCAATTAAAAAATGGACAAAGGACATGAATGGACACTTCGCCAAAGAAGACATTCAGGCAGCTCCCAAACACGTGAAGAAACGCTTGCGATCATTAGCCATTAGAGAGATGCAAATCAAAACTACCATGAGATACCATCTCACCCCAGCAATAATGGCACTGATCAAAAAAGCAGAGAGTAACAAATACTGGCAAGGTTGTGGGGAGATTGGAACTCTTCTACACTGCTGGTGAGATTGTAAAATGGTATAACCAGTATGGAAAATGGTATGGCGCTTCCTTAATAAAGCTAGAAATAGAAATACCATATGATCCAGCAATCCCACTTGTAGAAATATGTCCTAGATAAATAAGAGCTATACCATGAATAGACATATGCACACCCATGTTCATGGCAGCATTGTTCACAATAGCAAAAAGATGGAAAAAAACTAAGCGCCCATCAACGGATGAATGGATAAACAAAGTGTGGGACATACACACGGTGGAATACTACGCAACGATAAAGAATAACGATGAATCTGCGAAACGTCTCACAACATGGATGAATCTGGAGGACATCATGCTGAGTGAAATAAGTCAGTCACAGAAGGACAAATATTGTATGAGATCACTGTTATAAAAAGTCAAGAACAGGTTTCCACGCAGAAAGAAACATTCTTTGGTGGTTACCAGGGATGAGGGGGAGGGAGGGAGAATCACTAACTAGATAGCAGGTAAGTGTTAATTCTGGTGAAGGGAAAGGCAATACACAATGTGGAGGAAGTTAGCACAACGTGACCAAAGCAAAGGAAGATGCTCAGAAGTACGCAAGAAGAAAGGGCAGCTACAGTAAGTGCTGTAATGCACACGATCCACCAACAACGCTAAGAAACAAACAATAATTTCTGACTACGTACATAAGCTAATATGTATGCTGAATAGGTGAGGGAGGTCTTATGGGAGTATACCCGTGTACATGTATATAACGTGGTGGATATTTCTACATACGTATTGGTAAATACTGGATGTATACTCATGTATAATGGAGCACACAGAGGGAACAGTTATAGAAACTAGTTAGATATTGGGACTGAACTACTGGACTTGAAGGCTAAGGACCACCTCGGGACATCTAGGTCAGTTGGCAAAACAGAATTCATAAAGACAATGTTCTACATCCTAGCCTGGTGAGTAGCACCTGGGATCTTAAAAGCTTGCGAGTGGCCATCTAAGAAGCAATTATTGGTCTCTCCTTGCCTGGCGCAAAGGAGAATGAAGAAAACCGAAGACTCAAGGAAGCAATTAGTCCAAAGGAGTAATGGCTCACATGATCCACAGCCTCCTCTAACCTGAGACCAGAAGAACTAGATGGTGCCCGGCTACCACTATCAACCACTGTGACTGGGATCACAATAGAAGATGCTGAGTAGAATGGGTAAAACATGTAGAATGAATTTCAAAAGAAAGAAAGGAACAGACTTACTGGTCTGAAAGAGACTGGAGGAACCCTGAGACTGTTGCCCTAAGACAACCTTCTAACTTGAAAATGAAGACATTCATGGAGGCCACCTTTCAGCCAAATAATAGACGGGGCTATAAAATAAACAATAACACCCGTGAAGAATGTTCTCCATAGAACAATCAACTGTATGAAAGCAAAAGGACAACATTTGCCCAAAACCAAAGATGATAAGTCAGGGAAGGACAGGGAAACCAGACTAATGGAAAAAGGGAACCCAGGGAGGAAATGGGGAGAGTGCTGATACGCTGCAGGGATTGGAGCCAGCGTCACAGAACAATTAGTGTAACAATCATTGGAAAACTAATTTGCTATGTAAACTTTCACCCAAAGCACACTAAAATGTTCGGAAAAGAAGAGTAAAGGGGATATTTTTGGTTTAAGGTTTAGAGATTATCTCAGGATAATAGTTCCAGGGGTCCATTCACCTCAGTGGCTCCAGAAAATCTAGATTCCGTGAGAATTTGAATTTCTGTTCTGCATTTCCCCGACTTTTGATCAGGACCCCGTGTCTTTTTGTATCTCCATTCTCAGAACGAATGCTCCATGGAGATTTTCTGTTGTTGTTGTTTGTATGTTTTTTTAGTATTTTATTTATTTTTGGTAGCAGTATACAGAACCAAACATACATCCGTTCACATTTTCTACATGGACTCTCAGTGACATTGGTTACGTACTTCACTTTGTGTCACCATCCTCACTGTCTCTACCCATATTGGTTCATGACCGTTCATTTAGGCTCTCTGCCCCTTAAAGTTCTTGTTATGGATTGAACTGTGTCCCCCCAAAATGTGTGTCAACTTGGCGAGGCCATGATTCCCAGTTTTGTGTGGTTGTCCACCATTTTGTGATCCGATGTGATTTTCCTGCGTGTTGTAAATCCTACCTCCGTGATGTTAATGAGGCGGGATTAGAGGCTGTTTTGTTAACGAGGCAGGACTCAATCTACAGGATTAGGTTGTGTCTTGAGTCAGTCTCTTTTGAGACATAGAACAGAAGTGAACAGAAAGACAGGCAGACTTCATACCACCAAGAAAGCAGCACTAGGAGCAGAGCGCATCCTTTGGACCCAGGGTTCCTGCGCTGAGAAGCTCCTAGACCAAGGGACGGTTGATGACAAGGACCTTCCCCCAGAACCAACAGAGAGAGAAAGCCTTCCCCTGGAGCTGGCACCCTAAATTCGGATTTCTAGCCTCCTAGACTGTGAGACAATAAATTTCTCTTCGCTAAATCCATCCACTTGTGGTATTTCTGTTACAGCAGCTCTAGAGAGCTAAGACAGTTCTCATCTGTGCTTCAGATGAACTGTAATAAGTTTACACTGTTACAGATAATTCTTTATAAGGAGAGCTGTGCTCAAGGCAAACGTTCTTTGTTAATTGGACTGAACTGGTGTTTAGTTGAACGATGGTTTCATGGGATAGTTTCAGTTCAAACTTCAAAGATTATTTCTGGGCATTAGATTTGGGGTTTACCCCAGTCTCCATGGATCCACTAAGTCTGGTTTCCGTATGAGTCTGAAGCTCTGTTCCACGCTTTTCCCGAGAGGTTCTGTTACTGCTCTTCTGCCTCCACAGGGTCATCTCCAGCATTCCTTTCTCATGAGGTTCCTATTCTGTAGGGCCAGCAGCTCCTCAGGATTCTTTGTACAGTTTCCACCTGCCTGAGAACCTTCTCCAAATTTCCCTTCTTTGAGGTCCCCGTCTCCACCACGTTTCTCATCTAAAGAATCCCTTTTGTTTGAAGGTTCTGCTGCCTAGCGGGCTGGCATCTGTGACTTGAGAAAATGGTGTACAAAATGGCCTCAGGCTTGTGTTACTCTGAGGAGGATGTCCCTGGGATTCATCAGATTCTCAGCAGGGTCCGTACCCTCTACTTTCAGAAGCACTGCTCTATCCATCCCCCTATCCTCAAGGGTTC